ATTTCTACAGCTGTACAGTGACAGGATAAGATTTACTTTGAACTAAAGATCTTCTGAAATGTTGGTGCCTCAGATGAGATGACAAAATACCACAAATTAAAGAATATCTGCAATTTCCCACTGGACAGTCTAACCTTAAATTATGAAGATACAGAGTAACAATCTGCTCTGTGACATGTAAGCTGTATTTTCTCCAATGAAGTCAGTAAACATGGAAATAAGGTCGACAACAAGAGTGACTGTTTCTTAGTAGTAAAACCATATTAAGCAGAGGGGACTGAATGACAGCATTTTGGGAATGTTGACCTTGTTTTTCTAGAAACTCAATAGAATTTTGCTTTGTGCTCATGAAGCCACAGCTCAGACACACAGAGACTAATATTTTAGTCAAAACATACCAATGTAGTTATTTGGAGCTTCTCCTCAAACAGCTAAATCTCACCTTTCTGATAAGGAAAGGAGCATCTGCAGCAGTCACCAAGAGAAAAAGAAATACAGACACACAAACTAAACATATTGACACGTTTAACTTATAGAGTCATTAGAAAATTCTGTTTGAGGACTTCAACCTTCTAGTGATTTATCCTACCTACAGAGGTATGTAACAATCCAACTCTACAGTCCATGTTTTTCTGTTTTTTAATTCATATGATGATGTTATGCTTAGACTGTAGTGAATCCCACACTTAACCTGCATCCAAAAAGTAAGAGACGTAAATCAGAAGAGTTTAATTTAAAATAAGACTACAAGAACAATGATGAGTAAAAAGTTTTAAGGTTTAGAACAATGACATTTCAAACTAAAAGCATTTCTCCCAGCCCTCTTCAAATGACATGAAACATTATTAGAATTTCATTTGACCTTCACAGTGACTAGCTGGAATGACAGGCCTGATCCAGAAACAGCTAACCTCAACTTCCTACTTTGAGCTTTTGGAGTTGAGGGCACAAAATATTTAAGAGAAAAAAATACACAAAAACAAATGTAAGCAATACAATGTGGCCCCTCTCAATGTTTTCTCCTTGGCTCCCCTCAGTGTGAAGAGAAAACTAAATACTGACCCCCTTAAGGGCAGCTGAGGATGGTGGCAAAGATATCAGCGATTTGTTTCTGATGCAGGTGACTGAAATGAAGACAATGTTGCTTTGGGGTTTTGAGAGTGCACAAATGGAGGCCCGAATCCCCGACGGAAAATAGGCCAGATCTCCAAAAAAAAAAAAAAGCGTTTAGCCAGAGCATCCTCTGCATCCACAGTGAGTGCATTCAATGATCCTTCCCTGCAGAGAGGAATAAACAGCAGGATTTAGACCACGAGGGCACACAGGGACTTAACATTTAAGAAAGTAACTGGATAACGGTCACTCTTTCCTTTCCTCCAGTAAGTATTCCATTTCTTAAATTATTACAGCAAAAACTGGCTCGCTCATTTGTCTGACTTGATCAATCAAACAGCAGCCTCTTGTAACTAACTAGACCAGTGGCTGTGTAAAAAACAACAAAACTTGAAACTAAATAGTGAAATGGTTCAAAGCATGTTAAATCATTCAGATTAAATCATCATTCATTCAGGTCTTTGAAAGCACCCTGTGTTAATAGCGTTGTCTTTACTTTATCTCTCAAGATCAGGGAGGCTAAGGAGAAGTATAGGTGGAAGCTGGAGCTTAAAATCCAGCAGAACAACATGAGGGAGGTCTGGAGCGGCATGTGTAACATCATTGGCTTCAGACCAACTGGCAGCAGAGGAGTTGAAGGCAGCTTGGACAGGGCTAACAAACTTAATCTGTTCTTTAACAGATTTAATGCCATGTCTACTGCCCATCCCCCTACTATATCAGCTGCTGTCAGCCCTCAAACATCTCCAACCCCACTACTCCCCCCTCCACCTCACTGTCCCCCAGCCCTCCTCCTTGGAGACCCCTACTCCCCCCTCCTCCAGCTCTCAGGTTAACAGCTGACGCAAAGGCGCCAGTGAACCCTGTTTCCATCCAGTGCGTCAGTGTGGACATTGCGGAGGATTACAAATACCTGAGAGTGCACATTGACAATAAACTGGACTGGGTCAAGAACACTCAAGCCCTCTACAGGAAGGGCCAAAGCCGTCTCTATTTTCTGAGGAGGATGAGGTCCTTCAACAGCTGCAGGACAATGCTGAGGATGTTTTATGAGTCTGTGGTGGCCAGTGCTATCCTGTTTGCTGTTGCATGCTGGAGCAGCAGGTTGAGGGTAGCGGACGCTGACAGTCACACTCAACAAACTGATCCGTAAGACCAGTAACATAATGGCGGTGGAGCTGGACACTGTCGGTGGTGTCAGAGAGGAGGATACAGTTCAAACTACATGTCATCTTGGACAATGTCTCCCACCCACTCCATGACGTGCTGCTCAAACACAGGAGCACTTTCAGTGCAAGACTCATTCCCCCAAAATACACCACAAGAAGTCATTCCTGCCTGTGGCCATCAAGCTTTATAACTCCTCCCTCTAAATGTCTGACACACGGACACTTAGTTAAAGTTAAACTGGTCATTACTATCCGTTTTGTGCAATAACACCTGCTTAATTACTTAGTGTGCAATACTATCTGCTGCAATTCTGCTGCTACTATTTATTCATTATTACTGTTCACAATAACAATTCCTTTAATTATGTAAATACTGTACATCACACTCATATATTTTCTTTTATTTTACATTTTTACTCTGATATTTATATTTCTTCACATACCACTTTCTTTCTTTATATTCCTTTTGCCTTGTGTGCAACTGTGACAAAGAATTTCTCCTCGGGGATCAATAAAATCTGATTTTGAAGTGTATATCTGCACTCATGTCTCTTTAGACATTGGCAGTAATAATGTAAAGCAGAAGGGCACCAATGGGATTGTCTTTCAAAATGATTAAAATAGTGTTCTGTTAGACTTACGACTTCCAGCTTGCTCTTGGGAACTCGGCAGATGCAATTGGTTCCAAAGTTGGTGTCTCGTGTTTGGATGCAACGCAGGCAGCACAGGTTCTCGTAGCCCTGCTTCTTCCACTTGGCAATCAGGTTCTTATCTGCATAGCCTTCCTTTATACAGTACTCATACAGCTCTGTCAGGAGACACGCACAGAAAGACAACACAGGTTTGGCATCTTTTACGCAGAGTCTAACCATGAATGTGTTTCATATGTCTAATTATGAGCAAAATCTTCTTGCAAGGCGGAAAATATGCTGGACAAACATCTTTAATTAAGTCTTAGGGACTTGAAAAATGTTGAATTCTCACAAAATTGTTACACATGGAAATTATGTAAGGCATGTAATTGCAGAAAATCTAATAAACTTCACAGATCTGTCTACCTCTGCTGATGGCTTTCCTTTTATAGAAGAGGTCGAAGATGTATCGACTCCGCTGATGATGCAGCCTGAAAATTGGCCAAAGGGACTCCACCTTCCGCTTTCCCTCATGGGGCTCCGTTTCAGCTGGAACACAGAGGAAAATCAGGAAAGTTAGATTAGGTAAGAAGAAATTAAAATTAAAATGGTGCTCCACCTGCTTGGGTAATTAAAACGCCTCTCTGGTTAAGGTGTGAATAGCGCCATGGATAGTGAGATCATTTCTGAGGAAAAGCATTAATCTGTTGCCTCCTCTCTTAACCGAGTACTTTCCACAAGAGCTTGGAACCTGTCTGATGAGATTTGCACTCATTCACAACAAAAGATTCAGTGAGATCTGCCACTGATGGTTTGCGCTCCAATCAGGTGATTCATTGGCACTGATCATCCTCGATCATCTCGAAATCTTCGGAGTGTTTGTGTTCCCCATCCCACCCAATCACCCCCTGCCATAGTTACACAAACACACCCAATCTATGCCATATTTCCCCTGCACTCACTCCTCAATAACACAATACAGGCATTCAGCAATCTTTATTTGTAAATAGAACATCATGTTCAGTCTTAATGTGTGTGCATCAAACAATTTTTTCAAACTAAACATACTTTAAATCCAAGGGTTATTAAAGCAAAGATGCTTCAGAACTAAAAGTCTTTTTTTTCTTTACATAAGTAAAGTAGTTTCTCAAACACCGCTCATTGAGGTGCGTGCGTGTATGTAATTAAAATCCTCCTGTCCATCAACAAGACCGCCTAATTTGCCTGCAGCCTTGCACTTCGCCATGAGAGGTCACTGTAACTGAAGCTTCGCGTAACGAACCCATTTTCGAAACAATTGGCTCAGGTTCGGTGCTTCACAAAAGCTTCATTTGCCCATCACTAAAAAACACAAAGTGAAAACTGAAATATTAAACATTTGCATCTGACTGAACTAACGTTACAACCAACAGTAACGTTTGACTCGTTGATTAATGCGAGTTTCGTGCTAACAAACTAACGTTAGTGTTTCCATTAAACATTTATTAATCGGTTGTAAAATCAAATTGAATGGGCATCTGTGAACAGTTAGAGTTAATGCGATGTTACGGTTGAAATGATTTCTCCACCACAGACGGCCAGGTGTTGTGAGGACCGTCGGACAATCATCTTTTACCGTTTCCGTCTCACCTTCTCTCATTTTCTGATCCAGCTCGTCCAAAGTGGGCTCAATAAGCTCCCAGCCGTCCGGGGGCGGCTTCCGACTCCTCTTTACTTTGGGCATGTTGCTCTAATTTTTGTACAAAACTGAACAAAAGCTCACGGTGTTTTCGTTTTTATTTGGTGAACCCGTCTCAGGCTCTGTCGCTGTAATATGACGTCACCGTGGGGGTCCATTTCAACTTGTCGTCTCATGAACGACGTCACCGCCACAAATAAACACCCTCCATTTATTGGCGTTTCATTACCTCTTAAAGACTTAAACGCTATATATGTTCATGTAAACATCTATTCAGGTCAGTATAAAGACGTTTGCTGAGATTAAACCGACGCAGATGTTTTTCTGTCGCCCCTGGCAGATTGCATCACTTTAGCACCCAAACAAACTGCCTTAAGATAAACAACATGATTCAGGTCCTTGCATTTAATAACCCGCGTCATTTAGTCAGGCGACTGTGGGATTATATGGAAATATTAACATAATTTAGTTTATACCAGCAAACGCGTTTACTAAATACGTGAAACCCTCCTGTACTGAAGCTTTGTTAAAAGGGAAATGCTTGAACTACTCAGAGTATTGTGTTACTCATCCAGCCTGTGAGTTTAGTCAGCTGTCAGTTTGTGCTGCTGCTTTTAACACTTATGTTTTGTGTCAGCGTTTACTTGTCAGGGCGCTTACAGTAAAGGCTTCGTCTGTCAAAATGCCCAGAGGAGGTAAGAATGATCTTAAAACCTGCTGCATTTAGTTGAAGTCAGTTGTTTTACATCTGTTAGCCTGCTGTTAGCTACACAACAGCGACACGCCTCTTTAGTATTAGACTAATAAACTGCATTAAAACTTACAGATCTGAGCTTTGGATGGTGTTAAACAGTAAACAAGAAATGTTTATAGGCCGCTCTGCTTCCTTTGACACCTGTCTGTTCGCTGTCGCGTACAAGGGGGATGCAAATCTGTGTGTGTGTTGTCATTTTTCATCTTCGCAGGTAAGAAAGGTGGCCATAAGGGTCGCGTGCGGACGTACACCAGCCCCGATGAGATAGACGCCCAGATGAAGGCAGAGAAGGAGAGGAAAAAGGTTGGTGGAGTGTGTACATCCAAAGACTTTTTTAATCTTGTGCCACACAGGGTCAAGTGTGTGTGCAGCTCTTCACTAAAGTACTGGTCAAGCTCCAGAAATGCTGACCTACTCCTCCCAAAAATCATAATTCCAATGGAAAGAGATTTTGATTCTGCTGGAGTACTCCTGTAATACCAAATCACTATTTGACTCAATAACATTTATTTATATAGAGCCAATTCATTACAGAAGTTATCTCATTGCACTTTTCATATAGAGTTGGTCTAGACTGTACTCGTTGTAATATTACTTACAGAGACCCAACAATTTGCACCATGAGCAAATACTTGGTGACACTGTCAGGGAAAAACTCACTTTTAACAGGCAGAAACCCTTGAGCTGGTTTAATGATGTTCTCCTGTCATTTATATGTCCTAGCAAGAGCAGGAGGCGGAGGAGGCGGGTGCAGCTCCGAACGACACGGCAGAGGAGAAGCTACCAGCGTCAGGATCAGATGACAGCGATGATGAAAATTCCCTGGTACTGCCATAATGTTTATGTCACTCTGTTGCTCTGATACCACACACACAGTTTTATATTATATATATATATATATATATATATATATATATATATATATATAAATACTGATTAATTGTATTTTGTGTACATGTGTGGAGCTCCTTGTAACTTCTTCTTATGAATGTGGTCATTCATTGTTTGCTGTATTCAGAGCACTTCATGCTGTATGTGTTGTGATGTGTTTGCAGAGGAGAAGAGCGGGTGTGGAGGGCTTGATAGAGATCGAGAACCCCAACAGAGTGGCTCAGAAGTCCAAGAAGGTGACACAGATTGAGGTGGATGAGCCCAGGCAGTTATCAAGGAGAGAGAGGTGTGGGTTTCATGTCAAAACACACAAGTTATACAGTAACAGTGCTAAATGGGAACTTCATGTTTTAACATGTAGTAGAGAAGTAGTAAAATTGAAGTTGCATGCCATGACATTTGGAGCAGTATGAAGCATTGACATTAGGTTTCTATAATATCCAGTCAAAATAGTTTCCTTATGTCACTTTCCCCACCTTGACACACACACTCACACACTCTCATTCTGGTGCAGAGAGGAGATTGAGAAGCAGAAGGCCAAGGAGCGCTACATGAAGATGCACTTGGCAGGGAAGACGGACCAGGCCAAAGCTGACCTTGCTCGCCTTGCCATAATCAAGAAACAGAGAGAAGAGGCGGCAAGAAAGAAAGAAGAAGAGAAAAAGGGTAAGCAAAACATGTCATATGGTAATTATTATTGTACAGTGATGATTGTATTAAACAGCTTGTAAATTTCCTCTACTCCAGGGGAAACTCTACACAATTTATCACATTAGAACCGTGATGTGGTCACGAAGGCTTATTTACATTACCACACTCTGCAAGTCACCATGGACTCATTTAATCTTGTGGTGTGTGTGTGAAGGTTCAGCAGTCTCTTATCTCCAAAATGAGCCTCAGAGCAGCAGGAGTCAAAACGATATCGCTTGATTAATTAATTTATTTTGCGTGCCTGTCCTCAACTTCAAACTCAATCTGCTACAAAAGTTAGTGCTTAAATATGTGATGATGAATCTTTTCAGCCTGTTAAGATTTTTAAAATGTTTTAACGTGTAGCCTTGTTAATGGAGCATTTGTTTTTCAGCTTCACCACCAACATTAAAAGTGAAAATGTAGTGTCTGAAGATACGAACAATAAATCATAAATCTAACCTCTGTGTTTTTGTCCAAGTAAGATAAGCAGCAAAACAAGTTTACAGTACGTTAGAATTAAATCATATTTACTATAACACCAGGACTAAATGCCTC